GCGCAGTCTTCCTGTGTGAAGCGCCAGACCCCTTCACACCATGGAATGATGATGATGATGTATGTTTGGGGCTGCATTGCAATATTGATTGTTCGGATCATTGGTATCTAAGTCTTCCGCTGTGCTATCTTATACTTTGTATTGAAAGGTCGGTTCTTGTTCTGGTATGCACCTATACGGTATGCAACACTATCGTAGCGACTATCCATTTCAGGGGGAATCGTTGATCTCCATGAGGGAAATGAATCATTGAAGTGCCATATGATGCTATGAGTGGTTGGGTGGGTTGGTGCACCGATTTGCAGCAGGTGGCTGGACGGGTTGGTGGAGATAAGAGTAAGAAAAGAAAAGGGTGTATTTACTTTGTTGACTTGTTTCCTGTTCAGAATGGCCTTTGTATGGAATGCAGTGAAGCGTGGGGCAGCCCATTCCCCAGTGGGGAAAAGAAAACTTGCTTGTCACCAAACTGCACTGAATACCACGAGTTTGTCGGAGTGTAAACCTCACATGCATCGTATCGTCAGTGTGCGGGAGTCCAAGGAGTGGAAGAGCAGATGATCAAATCACTTGCAACAGAGTCTTTACTTGTGGCACCTTATCTCTTTGTTCCACATTTTTTCTTGAATGATCGAATTGACTTCTCAGGTTACAGGGCACTTGCCTGTTCTGCACTTTTATCTCTCAGTTGCCAAGTTTCAAGCGATCAGAGCCATCCTTAAAAAGTTGGCCTCTGCAGATCGGGGTGCAAGACAAAGGAGCCCGCAATATTCTCCCCAGGCTGGCATCACTGATTCTGAGTCACAAGGAATATCCGGAGCAGAAGAGAGAGCTCATGATGGAAGGAAACAGCGCAGCAGTCAGACTTACGCAGAGTTGTTTGAGGCACTTCATGCAGGCTGGGACAAAAAGAGGAAGGGATTGGAAATGCAACCATCACTTGCCCTCACTGGCAAAGGGTCTTCAGGTGGAGTGCGAGTCGGTGGAGGGGAAGGATCGGCATCCCGTGAACCACGAGTAGAAATGAGTGATTCTGAGGATATTGTCAAGCGTGCGCCACTTGTGGACTTGAGTCTCAAAGTAGGAGTAACAGAATTGGAGATTGGACTGGACGGCATGCCGTCAGATATTGCAAGTGGTGTTCAGGAGAGAGTAGTAAACAGCAAGTTTGTGTTTCGGATCAAGGACGGATGGCTATGGTGAGTTCTCTCTTCCACAATTCTTCTGTGTCAAGTTTATACCATGTCTTAACATAGTTAAAGGCGTCAGTATGCCAGACAGCCTTCTAAGAGATTGTTTGCCAGTTGTAGACTGCGCCCTATGGATAGGGATTGGTTAACTTGTAGACACACTCAAAAGGGTATTGGCGCCAAAATTCTGGGCAGGGTCTTTGTTGGTCATTCAATATGCTCTCCATTTGTCTGGCGATGTCGTCCCATCTCTCCTCAGTGACTAGTGCTTTATTCCTCCTCCTCGTCCCTCTTATTCTTCTTCGTTGTCTTTTGCCTTCTTTTTTTGGGAAACAACTCCTCGTTCGTTATATAGCATAGCTATGATCCAAAAACCCGGATAGGGATCTGGACTGAACGGAGTCCGCTGTCTGGTCAGGAGTTCTGGATTCGGTCCGGATGGTCGGAAAATCGGGGGTAGCCCACTTTATTTTGGGTGGCCCAGGTCGTTTTCTCTCCTTCTGGGCCGCGGTGGAAAAATACTGGGTGATTTTTTAGGGTTATGCCTGGCATCCAGACAGGGCCGGAAGGAGGCTCTAAGTTTTCTTTTCCCGCCCTCCTCTCAAAGGAAACCAACCTCTTTTTTGTTTTTTTGTCGTTTGCATAACGCAGTTCCTGTGCAATATCAGACGCGCTGGTATCTTCCCAGGATAGGACGCTTAGTACAACCAAAACAAACAATGTCTGGAAAGAAAACGAAAAAAGAAGATCCTACTCTCATGAAGGAAACAGCGCCCATCAGAATGGGCACCTGCAATGACTATGGGGGCTTTAGGCCTCTCTCCACTACTCACCAAATGTGCAAAATGAGAATGACTCTTCAGCTAGAACATGTAAAGATGCACCACCATATTTTTTGTCTTTAGTGCATGTGGTGAGTAGTGGAGCGAGGCATGAAGAAAGAAGAAGAAGAAGAAGAGGTACTAACTAGTAACTTACCAGTGGCACGCTTGCTGGGGGCGATGTCGCGACTCATGGGGATGGAGGCGAGGACGGGGATGGTGGTGACGACAGCGACGGCCTCCATGCGCTTCGATGTGCTGGAGGAACTGGAGGCAACGAGGAGGGCACGAGGGCAGTTCGCAGGGCCGCAGGGGAGGGAACGGGCAGTAGGTGGGGGCAGCAAGAGGGCAGAGGCGGGGGAAGGAAGCAGTAGGCCGATGGACGGGGTTGGGACGGTGCTTCCCACCCAAAAACTTTGAAAAGGGCGGCCTATCTGTGCCGCCGATCTCTCGAGATAGCCCTCCCTTCTCATTCCTTTTTGCAGGCCTACCGGAGCGGGTCTCTTTTTTTTGGGCCAGGAGACCTCCACAGCCTACGTGGAGGCCGCCTAGCCCAAAAAAAACTCATTAAGACCCCCCAGATTGGATGCACTACGGCCAACCGGGGGGGAATCGGCCTGGTCGACCGGCCGATAGGCCCGGTCCGGGTCCGGTTGAGGGAGGACCCCGGGTCCTGCCGGGTTTACAACACTGGTTGGGACTAGTGAACGGATACAGTCTCTTGCCAAGCTAGACCAAGGTAAATTATGTTCGAGAAGTAATTTGATTATCCATTTGACTTGTAGAGCTTTAGTTTCTTGTCTTGGGTTAGTGATTTTTAGGCTTCCCTCAGTGATGCATGCTCAATCGAGCGATGTATGGGGAGCCAAGGATCCACAAAGTGATGAAAATGACTCAAATGGACAATGCAGTGTCAGCAAAGCATCAACAAGCAATGTACATCCAGATACATATGAAAATAGTACAATGTAGCGCAGTGGAAGACTTAAAGATATGACCTCACCTATCAGAGACTGACGCGACATCCCATCATACACCACACATGTGAGAGAGGGAGGAGGGACCGCATACATGGAAGAAAGGTCCCTCCTTGCACACACACATGGGGCAGATACCATGGATGAAGAGATGGGGGAGAGGCGAGACGAAGATGGAGGTGAGGGAGAAGACCAAGATCGTGATTGCGAAGTCCAAAAATAGTCTTCCTGTCGAATGTCCAATCAATGTCTGACGCAAAAATGTTGAATCGGATCCTGGGCGTCATACCCGATATAACCTCTCTCTCTCTCTCTCTCTCTAAAAGAAGGAGGAGGAGGAGGAAGGAGGGAGAAGAGATGGAGGGCGAGACGACGAAGAACAAGATGCTATCCTCCTCGTTGTCTCACCTGCAGGTAAATGTTGCCATGTACTGACCGCTTGGCGTCCCTTTGCAGGTCGCTGGCGCAGAGCCCAGCTATGGCACCCGGGTAAGTACTGCCGCTGCAGGTATGGCCTCCGCCTCCCTCGCTCTACCTACACCTCTACCTCTAACGCAGGACTGTGTCGCGCTGCTCCAGTAGCGTGTCACCGAAGAAGTGAGCTACTCGAACTGTGTGTCTGCCTAGGTGTGCCCACCTATAAGTAGCGATGAGCCTCGCGGGTGTGCCTCCGTGTGCAACGAGTGGAAGTTGACCTTCTCGGGCTCCTCCCAAGGCTCATCATAGAGTACATAACATGCGTCAGCCTTGGAATCAGCGAATGACGGGGCTTCAAGAGAGGACTGTTGATTTGTGCCAGGTTCAGTCTCCCTTGCTGAAGAAGGTGCTGATGCCACCTCTACGCCCGATTCGGGTTTCCTTGCAGCCTATAACAACTTTGGACTTTATGGTTGGGTTCCAGGCAATGCAGGCAAACTCCCTTCTTGATCCTAGCCGTCCATTCACTTTTGCTGATCCGGAGGTCCAACCAAGGTTTGGTTGTACCATCCTCCGGCTTGGCTGGGACCTTGGGTCCTTTTGGGAGTGGGACATAGTTCTTTCCCGAGTTTTGGTTTGACCCTTTCACATTGGCAGACTTTCTAAAGTCATTAAGTTTCTCTTCATCATTATTAATATCAGATTCATGGGCTAAAATTGAACAGGCTATATCAGAGTCTTGTTCTTGATCGTCTCAAGAGTGGGGTCATCTGCATAGGCCTCCTCATCAGCCTTCAATAGGCCATGCACAACAAGGAGGTTGCTGCCTCTAAACCGCTTGCCGCCTATAGGCTTCTCGCTGCCTATTGTGGAAACAAGGTCTTGTGCCTCGAGGCTGACTACATCCTGCATGAGGGAAAGCTAGTCCATGTATCCAATGAGATCTTTGCCCAGGCGATGTTTGACTATGCAGTCATTTCCAACCCGGGAGTAGCAAAAAGTTTGCTTACATGCAATTGCAGGTTGTGCATGGTGCTCGACCACTTGCTGCGCTTGAGATAGTCAAGCTTGTTCCTTACTCTGCAGCAGCATGTGGATCTTTATACTGTTTAATCAAGATCTCTTCCAGTTGTGGCCACTGGTATGGCCTTGAGCCACTGCGCGAGATGAATCTTAGTACACCCGACTTGCATATCTTGGACTTCTAAGAAGCCCCATACGGTGGGTTCGGCGTTTGTCCCGAATATCGAGGACTGGCTTATCAATTGAGTTCCCAGTACCTCGAAGTAGGCTCTCATGGAGCTGATCCAGGACTCCACATCCTCCTTGACGTCGTAGACGGTATTTGTACCGCCTTTTTGTCGACATAGGGACTACTATAACCGGCACCAGCAAATGTTGTGTCTGAACTTGAGGCTGCAGCCATTGCAGAAATCCTTGCGTTGTCACTTGTTGCAGCGGCAGTGGGGTCTACATTTACTGCAGGTCCCGATTGACTAAAGAAGAAGTAGAGGCATGGAGAGGAGCAAAGACTGACTGGTTAGCAGCATTGGAGGCAGGAAGTAGAGGAAGAGAAATAGGAATCTGGGTCTGATGCAGATTTGCCATTTGCCGCATCTGATCACTGTGCTCCTTGGCCATATCCGCAATTCGCGTCTGCAGTTGACTTACCTAGCCAAACAATTTGGATATTTGACTAGGCATTTCACTTAGCAGATGACAGTCTATGAGAGCACGCACATACTTGACCAGATCTTTCTTGACCTCAGTGTCAGCCAAGGAAGGGACTATTTTAAAATCAGCCTCATGGTACGCAACATCAGTTTTTCGCTTTTCCTGCTTTCCCTTTTCTTCCCTTGACAGTGTGTTGTCGTAAAGAACTTTGAACAATGGTTTGTCCTCATCGTTGGCCGCATCCAGTTGGGCCTTTAAGGCTACAAAGGCCTTACTGTTGCCATGTTAGAACTACCAGAGTTCTCAGGTATTACGGAAAAAGACTCAGCAAGCCCCTCAAGATGAGTGACCTCCCTCTCCCTTCTCTCTCTCTCTTCTTTTTGTCCACGAGTCTCTACGAGCATTGAAACATGAACTCATAAAAAGAAACAAACTGAAAAGCTCAAAGAAGAGAAGGTAGAACTCCTAGCTGGAGTGGCATTACATTTGGACTAGAGAGCAAGCAAAAAAAAATAAAAAAAATTCAGATGAGAGGTCTGATCCAGCGTCTTCGCCTGATCAGACCAAATACAAGATCCCCTCGAGTCCAATCTGATCAGTTCCGTGGACGTACATCAAATTCAGACCACGAGTAACGACATGCAACAATGAAGAATTGAGTGGTGTATAAGGTGCGAGTCAAGCCACGGACAGTGTGGTAAAAGTATACAAAACATCCCAGCCGAGATCCCCTCGGCAGCGAGTGCTCTAACCAAAAAGAAAACTTCGCATCTCAGACAAAAAGAGAATGATCTAACGTCAAACAGATTTGGGCCTAAGGGGCCCTTCTTGCTTGGGCTTGGTCCCACTTGGTACCCAGAAGGTCCCAAGTAGGCCGTGACCAAGTCCCAACCAAGAAGAGTACCACATGGACCTACTTTCTGCCTCTACCGAACTGGAAAACGAATTTCAACTTCAGAAAGAACCTACAGTCTACATCCGTTCAGAGACAAAAAGACAATGCAGTGAATGCACTTTGGTGTCCAAGGCAAGATACCTCATCTCTTCATCCATCAGGTGAGTAAACAGCTTGCATACATTCACAATCAAGACCATAGAGGAGTAGGAAAAGAAATCCAGA